TCACTATCTCTCCCCTGAGACCTACTATATATATATTTAGAGTCTTATAGAGATATTTTGATGATGGGAGCTACTTGGCCATTAACTACGTTGTATCAGTACGCCCATGTGAGACCCGCATTGCCCGTGCACTCTTCGCGATGTGGCCGTGGGAAAAGTGGCTAAGCTCTTTTCATTTCCTGCTTAACGTAACCAAAAAAGTACATTTCAATAAAAACAAAACGCATTCGAGTAAAGTTTCTGCATTGCCGGCACGCCGGAAAAAACATCATTTGCATAAAAAAAGGCGTGCGCCGCTAACCTGACAAACAAAAAGTACATTTCAATAAAAACAAAATGCATTCAAGTAAAGTTTCCGGGTTAAGCTCGTCTGCGCCCGTACGAGCGGACGTATAAGGGTGGACAACCACGGTTAACGCTGCTGTTGCCGCACTGCTTCAGAACACGCTCTACTACGACGTCTGGTGGGTGCTGCAGCATACGACTGTGCTGTGGGTGAGCCTGGTGGTGATCTACGCACAATACTACATGTCTCCGTACTACTGCGACACACTGCACCGCGCCGCACTGCACCTAGGTCGCTGGCTGAAGGTCGAGGGCAGGAACGCGCACGTTCCTTACAACGTGTGAGTAAGAGAGATTACGATTAAGCATTTCAAAATTTTCAACCGCGTTTTGTGTTGCCAAGTTTGTTTTTCGTCAAGTTTGTGTGCGAGCAGTGTAACAATATCTTGTCATAATATATAAGACGGAAGTCCATATTAAACATAGCCATTTATTGTTCACGTTCTACTCATCCACACCGCAGGCTAGTAATGGTTCCCGCCTCGCCACGAACCCCCAAGTGCTCATGCTGGACCGTGCTGCCACCTTCCGACTACCAATGAGCAATATTATTAGTAACATGATATGACAAGCAGTTCGATAATATATAATAATATACAGTCGATTGTGTTTGATAACGTCTCAACTTACTTAGCTATCTCGTGCTTATCTTTAAACAAAATTCCAAATCCAGGATTTTTAGCGGTGGAATGAGTTACCTAAAAAAGATTGCCTGCGAACCTTCTGTGTACGTTGGGAAAAAGATTGAAGGCATATAATGTCATAGTCGGCCCCACGTCGCATATTATCGAGAACAAGTTTCTCTCTCGCTTCCTAGGCCATCTAACTATTATGAATCGACTGAGATAGTCCGATTTTTCGTCCGCAATAAGATCTAGACAGCGACACGATTTCCCAGTTTGTTCGATCGATACTCGCCTGTCTGTGGTGCTTGTTACGGATTGCGTCTCGCAATAAGTTATGTTGAGTGCACTGTAATACCGTGCTGCACAGCGCAACCATAGACAGCCAGCTAGTGAGTCACGTGAGCGGATGTTCGCAGGACGGTAGCGCACACCTGTTATTTTGCTACTCTGATTGAGCTGTTAACGTGGACGGACGTGTTTCGCAAGAATAAAAAGAAGGTCGTTTTGCAGAAATTCAGTAGTTTTCTTGTGTCCGTATCTGGAACAGTGCTAACGTGCATGCTATTGCAGGGGTAGAAATGAACTTTTGAGTCTGCAGCAAAATGAGGGAGTCTGCAGTCTGAGGGAGTCAGACGGACTCATGCATATGTCAAATCAGAGAGTCCCGACAGTAAATCAGGGAGTATTTGACTTCGGACTCGGACCGTTAATTTCGCACCCTGCTATTGCTATTTCTAGCTGGTCGGAGCTGCAGACGTGGCCACAGAACGCTCTAGTCAAACACATCAAGGGGCTGTTTAAGGCGGAAGCTCTCTGCAACGCCGCAGAGCCTGGCAACTCCTCGCACACCCGCTTCTATGTAAGTGGCATAGATGAGCAAATGGAAATCGTCAATCAAATTACACTGCGCGACGAATCTTATAGTGTGTGCGTTGTTTTGTGTGTGCGTGCGTGCGTGCCTGTGCATGCGTACGTATGTGCATGCAGGTGCGTGCGTGCATCGTTACCACGCATCACATCTCGCTCCTCATCGCTCACGTTATCGCATCATCGTTTGCATCTTGCAGTTTCTGTTCCACGTCATGCCTTACCCGCTTGTATCTCGCTCACCTTGCTGCCTCACCTGCCTTATCGTTTGCATCTTGCCTCACCTGCCTCATCGTTTGCATCTTGCCTCACCTGCCTCATCGTTTACATCTTGCCTCACCTGTGTCATCGTTTGCATCTTGCCTCACCTGCCTCATCGTTTACATCTTGCCTCAGCTGCCTCATCGTTGCAATCTTGCCTCACCGTGCCCTCATCAGTTCGTCTTGCCTCACTCTGCGCTCATCCGTTGCATCTGCCTCCACCTTGCATCGTTGCATCTTGCCTCACCTGCGGACCCCCCCCCCCAGGTCTCATTGACATCTATGCCTCCACCTGCCTCAATGCGTGTTTACATCTTGCCGTACCTGTGTCATCGTTTGCTATCTTGGCCTCACTGCGTCATCATTTGCATCTTCCTCAGCTTCCTCATCGTTTCATCTTGCCATCACCTGTGTATCGTGATGCATCTCTTGCCTCACTGCCTAATCTGATTTACATCTTGCACTCACTGCCTCATCGTTTACATCTTGCTCACCTCATCGTTGTGAACATCTTGCCTCAACCCTGCGTCAGAGAGATTTACTGATGTGTGCCTCACCCACGTCATTTTGGCATCTTGCCTCACTCTGCCTCGCACTGCTCATGAGTTTGTTCATCTTGTCTCACTCTAGGCGTCATCAGAGTTTAAATATTGTCTGCACCTGCGTCATCAGTTACATCTTGCCCTCCTGCGTCCATCGTTTGCAGTGTTGCCTCACCTGCCTCATCGTTACATCTTGTCTCACCTGCGTCATTGCTTTGCATCTGCCTCCACGCGGCATCATCGTTTTGCGTGTGCCTCACACTGGCCCATCGTTTGCGTGTGCCTCACCTTCTCATCCGTTTGCATCTTGTCTCACCTGCGTCATCGTTGCATCTTGCTCACGCGTGCATCAGCGTTGCGTGTTGGCTCACCTGCCATCATGTTTGCGTGTTGGCTCACCTGCGCATCGTTTGCATCTGCCTCACGCTGCCACCTGCTCATCGTCTTGCATCTTGCCTCACGCCTCACCTGCTCATCGTTTGCATCTCTCAACCTGCCTCATCGTCTTGCATCTTGTTCTCACTGTCTCATCGTTGGCTCTTGCCTCACCTGCCTGCACTGCCTCATCGTTTGCATCTTCCTCAGGACATGCGGAGCCATGCGTTAATGTGCGTGTTGCAGTTTCTGTATCAGTCGACCGCCTAACCGTCAACGCTCGGTGCTGATGATGCCCAGCTTGGACGTCAGCGTCACGCATCAAGCCCCTACTCATCAGCTGGTGCGCGCATCGGGACGCCGACGAGTGGAAGCGCACCTCGAGTCTCGCTCGGGCCGCGCTCTCCTCCCTTGCTACCAACTACTATGGTGCCCGATTCCGACTCGTCGTGACACCTGCTTAATGGGCGAAGGCCTTACAGAGCGAGCCGAGTTCTCAGGCCGTCGACGCCAAAACCTGACACCCGGCGGAGCCCGCGAGCAAGCGGCGGAGGGCGAGCGCGAGTCCTCGCGCGCAACGCAAATGTCTCGACCAGGCGGAGCCTGCGAGCAGCGGCGGAGGTCGAGCCGAGTCTCGGCGTCCGGTGACGGCAAACTGTCACCAGGCGAGCGCAGCACGGCACGACGCGAAGCCTAGTCTCGCCGCGCCTGCGCAAGACTGACACCAGGCGGAGCCGCGAGAACGCATGAGGTAGAGGTCGCGGTCGGCGGCAAAAAGATGTCGTACGTCGCAGATGTGTCGGTCAGCGCACGTCAGTCCGAGTGATGACGACGCAGTGGACGCTGCTGCTGCTGCTGCTGCTGTGCTGCTGTTGCTACCCATACATGCTCGCTGCTGCCGCTGCTGCCCATACTGCTGCTGTGTAAATAGATATTTAATGGAGCGTAGATGAATAGATGCGTGAGAGGTTGATAGGTACGAGGTGCCTCCGCGCACGCGCCCGCGGTTGGTCGACGACGGACGGATGGTCGAGGTTTCATTCTATCTGGTATGGTTGGTGCGTGGCGGCGGGGTCAGTCAAGGATGGCGAGATTTAAGTGTTTAGTTGCGACTCGATTCTGGAATTGGAATCAATTCCAAAAAGAACATGGTTGGTGATTGAGTGAATGTGAAGCCATTCATAAGTTCAGTTTCGTGGTTGATGTTAATGCATGCCTGAACGCAATCGGAAATGTCAGAATGTTTTAATTACCTTAAAAATTCAGAATTAAGTCGACGTCAGGAGAATGATACAGAGAGAGAGAGAGAGAGGAGGAGGGAGAGAGCAAGAAAGGGAGATAATAAAGGCGAGAATATGTTTATCTGATGTATTCAGTTTTTTAGTTTCATTTCAACATACTTCACTTTTATTTGTCTTGGAACGTATTAAATTTAGAAGGAATTGCGAATGTGCCATGTTGAGGAAGATCTGGATTGGTTTTCTCCATGCAGTAAAACATGCACAGTTTAAAGTGCCGCCATTTTTCTTACTACCCAGAACAAATGCATTCTGTGATTGGTCGGGGCGCGCTTTGGTAGCGGACACGGCGGCCGTGGAAATAAATAACCCTCGTCAACTTAGTTACAAGTGCACTCATTCCACAACTAAGGCGCCACTCAAATCAAATTTTCTATGCTATAATTGCATGAAATCTTAGTGTTTTTCAAGTTAGTGACTAGTGATATTAATAATAATAATATTAATAAAATAATATATCCTCTGGCGCTGTGAGGTGACTATAGTCATAGTATAGGTATATTTTGCTATTTTTTTGCGCTATTTTTCGCTTTCCTATATTTTGCTATTTTTTCATATTATTGAGCGTTTCTGAGCAGTAAATTCGAAATAAAAACTAACAACATTCATGATGACTTTTCTGTTGCGCACGGGAACCAGAATACAAGTTTTCCAACCCAGTCGAACCTTTATGAAGTTATGTTAGCAGGGAATAACTTTCCCACGGGCGTAGATTGAGGGTGCTCGGCTCTGATTGGCTAATTTATTATTTTTGGCTAATTTTGTTTTATTTTAGAATTAGGGTTAGTGTTAGGGAAATAAGGGTATACCGTATAATAATATAGGAAAATTATTGCAGTGACGTCATAAGACGTGATCACGTGACCTCAATCTACGCCCGTGGAAAAGTGACACCTATGGTGACACCCATGTTAGCATAATATTAATAAATCAAAGCGGTAACGGGTTACCTATTATACCCACTGATCTCTATAATATATATAGATATATATTATAGAGATCAGTGATTATACCATGTTAAACTTTTTTCGTCCGGTTGCACAAAACCAGCCGCCTGCTACCATCCATCAGCTGTTTCGCCCGGTTATGTATATTCGTAATCGAGTACGACTGGTAACCGGTCATAACGACAGCCTTTATGCAACCGAGCTAAGAAATTAAAAAATCAACTGCTGAACAATCCGTGACTCGACCAATCACAAGGAATGACAACAATAACCACCAATCAACGGCAGGACATCCTCGAAAAATCTGCCTGATTCCTGGTATGGTTAGCGCATGCTTTAATGTCGGGTTTATTAGGAAGTGAAGCTACTTGAAAGATTCCTTTGAATTAAATGTCCATGGGAAAAAATGGTTTGCGCAGTGTCATAGTTCTTGCCTTTCTTCTTTGTCCTAGGAGCAGCAGTTAGATTTTCAAATGAATAAATTGGCAAGTTTGTGATACAATTTGTAAGTACGGTTTCCTATAACTAAATAGTATAAAACTACAGTAGCCTAGGCGCCTATAACTAAGTATAATATTGATTTAAGCTTTATACATTAGGTTCTATAGCCGCTTACATTGACTGCCGGCTGGGCTATAGCCGGCTTGGGCTGGGCTTGGCTTGGACGCCAGCGGCAGTGCAATGTTAAGCGGGTATAATTACTTAGAGCTAAATTATTGCATGAATTGGCATTGGCTAGCGCCTGTCCGCAGTTCAATGTACGCGGGCTATGTACTAGAGCTTAATATTAGGCTATAGTAGTGCTATTAGGGCTACTGGTTCTCAGTAGCTCTACTGTATTGTACTTGGTAGTGTACGTAAATCATATGTTGTTTATAGTAAATTAATACTCCGGATTGCAGCATTGCGTGGTGTACAAGCCAAAGACAAGCGAAGAAGAACAAGGGAAAGCAGCTTGCCTAGAAAGTGGACTGAGGAGGGAGGAGGAGGCTCACCACCTTGTAGTGTTAGATAATACACAGGGTTTCCATTGAAGAAGTTTTAAGTCGAAGTGTTCATGAACGAGCAAACAGCAGCATCACATACACAGCAAACCAGTGTTTGTAGTCTCGAGGACTGCGTCTTGTCTCGAGACCCGGTCTCGCAGACTGTTTTCCTTTTCTCCGCGTGTCTCGCGTCTCGGCCTCGGATGGCCAATGACTCGGACTCGGACTCGGACTTCGAGCCTTCCGGCACCTCCCCCCTCCCGACGGACTTTCGGCGTCGAGGACCTGGCTCGAGGCCACTACATTACATAGTATAGATGGGTCATAGATGCTGTTTGTTTCGCCCGCTTTAAATACGCCGTGGGCCGAGCTTCTACGCCGGCATCATTCGTATTCGCAAACCACGGGCATAAATAATTGTACACAAGGCGCCGCGGTTAATCAATCGTCTTACTGCGGCTGTGGCAGCAAGTGAATTATAAGGCAGAAAGGTGGTAAAAATGATGTCATTGGAACCTATGTGCGAGTACTAGTACGGCTTACTATATGACCTCTACACTTTCGAAAGGTAGTAGTGGATACTTACGCGTAGTAGCCTACTAAGTACTAGCACTCTCTCATTTGGTTCAACAAGCCGTGTCATTCTCGTAAAACACAAATGGATCCGTTACTTTGACACGTTTCGTATGACTCGTGTCTCTGTGTTTTCGGCTGACTATACACTTTCGAATGTCTACGATGCATGGTTGCACTATGCAGTAAACAGCGTACACAATATACACGTAGTTTACAGTGCTTCACCAGCACTCTCAAATGTACAACTGACTCGCTGACAATCGAGAAATGCCAGCTAACGCCTGAGATCAACGGCGAAGCCGAAACCTACCGGCTAACTGGCTGAGTCAATTAAGTACAGTGCACATCTTTTGTTTAGTACAGTAGTCAATCTTTAACAGATAGTACCGCTCATAGGGTCTATGTCCCCCAGGGTACTGTCGGAATGTACCTTGGTAACTATCTAGCTGATATGGTTAGGGTTAGGGTTAGGGAGTAGGTGTAGGCGACTCCCTAGACTCGTTAGTGAAGTAGGTGAGGTACGGTCCGGCATATTAGATAGTAGTATTTAGTACCAGGGTACGTTCCGGCAGTACTCTGGGGGACATAGACCCTATCAGCCCTAGTAACTCCCTTCCCAGCTGGTTTTGAGTCATGTCTAGTGCCTGGAACGTGGACGTTCTTCCTTTTTAGCTCATCTGACGTAGACCCTATGAGCGCAAGCAACAGCATCACGTAAATTTGACCAAATTTCTATACGTGCTAGCATTTAGAATCAATGCATGGCAATGTTAAACTGCCCTATGTCGATGTGCTCACTTCATTTCTTTTCCTGTAATTTCACTGCAGGTGTGACTACCACTACGTGTCTATAGTGTACGTATAGCACGATGCCAGCAGGTGTAACGTGGGGTGTCTACCTACGGTACTCTGTCGCTGCCCTATTCTCCATGTTTGCTGGGGCCCAGGTGGTACACATGTACTACAGACCGTTGGAAGTACGTATTGCATACTTTTTTCGTCATTTTATATGTTTTTTTTTCCCACCCATCCGCAGGTAAAATAAATGTATCAGCGTCTGTTCTGTCACACGAATTTATTTTTCGCGCAATATATATGAATGTAATACATACAAGTATGTAGAGTAATACAATTACAATAAAAATGTAAGTAATGCAAAGTAATACAAGTAAAGTACAAATGAAATACTCATGTGCAGTGCAGGAATAACTTTCTGGTGTAACTGTTGGTAACTCAACTAATTAGTGTACCTATAGCACTTGTGTGTATGGCATCCTTCTTTTTAATCCTTGTCTTTTTTTATGCTCCAGGATCTTGATAAATACATACAAGCAGAAAAGGACAGAATAAAAGATGTCCTAAAACCGACGTTGCTAAACCAAGATGGTGGAGACAGCGAATCATGACGCATTCAGTGAATTTTGTTACGTAGTGAATTGTGAGACTGCTCTCGACTGTCAGCGCCATCTCCTGCAGTGTCAACACAATCATCATAGTTAGGCTGTAGATGTGAGATCAGGCAGTCCAACGCCTGAACCTCGTCCGGTGATCGCAATGATAGCATCGGATTTCGGATTCCCGCTTTTGAAAGCGTAGTTGTGGTTGCGAGCACGGCCGGGAGACAGAACATCAACAAACTATTGTGTTACCAGCACGTTTCTCTTCGCCGCGTCCCGCTACGCGCATGGCTTCGATCGACGATGACAGCGAGCCGCCGCCATTCTGCGTCACTCCCGCGACGGAGGAACAACCGAGCGCGTCCGTCATCTTCCTTCACGGCATCTTCCAGACGGGCGAGAAGACGGCGCGGGCGATCGAGCGCGCGCTCGGCGAACCCCTGCGGTTCCGGCGTGCACGCGTCGTCTACCCGACCGCGCCCGTGGGGGTGTACACGGCGAGCGGGGGGAAGCGCTGCACGCTGTGGTATGATCGATACGGCCGCGACATCGACGCGTCAGAGATGACGGCGTCCGTAGACGCGCAGCTCTCGCGGCTCGCGCGGATCGTCGACGACGAGGCGTCGGCGGGCCGCCGAGTCGTCGTCGCCGGGTTCTCCCAGGGCGGCGCGATGGCGGTGCACGTCGCGTACAGACGCTGCCGAGACGCCGTCGCCGGCGTCGTCGCGCTGTCGCCGTTCCTCAACCGCGACTCGGCGGTCTACGCGGCACTAGAGGGCGCCGCGGGGCCGCGTCCGCCGCTGCTCGTCTGCCACGGTGCCGCGGATCGGCTGATCCGATGCGAGTGGGGTGAGGAGATGCACGCGACTCTCAGCCGGCTTGGCGTCGCGAGCGAGTTTCGATCGTTCCCGGACATGGGGCATGAGATGAGCAAGGGAGAGCTGTGCATTGTCAGGCAGTGGATCGCGGACAGGCTAGGGGAGGAGCTTCCTTCGTCCTAGAAGTGCAATTTAGATACATGTATGAGCGACGAGGAATTGCGCGAGGCTGTGGGTCGCAATTGTAATTTAGAAGTGAATGCAATCTGATTGACATCAGATTAAAAATCCGGTGCTAGTCTGTGAAGTCTACTTGCATTTTTATTCGTTTTCAATCCGAACATTTCGACTGTGAACAGAATAAACATAATAATTTGATATGTTAAAAACGTCTATGTCTTATGCGGGTTTATAATAACGTGCATGAATAGCAAACGGCCTACAATACACATGCAGGGTCCCCACTGCCCTTGAAAGTCCTTGAATTTTGTCATTTGTCCTTGAAAGTCCTGAATTTTTCCTTTTGTCATTCCTTGGAAATACATGTAGGTCCAAATAAGTCCTTGAAAAGTTAAAAAAATAATAATTCACACTTGTGGGAGCCATGTACTGAGTACCTAGCAGTAATAATGTAGCATATAGAATCAACCATCACGAAAAACCAAGAAAAAAAACGATAATACCGTTTCATTCAATACCTGGTATTCTATCTATTTCTATCTATCTATATCCGATATGTCTATCTATTTCTATGGTATTTTAATCTATATCCTATCAGGTTATATACTCTTGGGAATAAGTGATCCCCTCCCAAATGGTACAACCTCGTTAGCACGGTGAATTCTATTCAGGGCAAATTCAGAATTTTATTCATCAGAATTTCATTATCATCATTTCATTCCCCCCCCCCCACTAAAGCACAAATATATATACGGCTATAATACGCGTTTTTACAGTCACACATACACACACGCGACCGGGCACGCACACGCGGGTATGGTCGCACGCATGCGTGCGTGTGTATTATAGGCGTAAATTCACATTTTGTTCCTCGTGGTGGGGGGGGGGGTAAAAAGTTTCGGCTGAAATACGGTCATTTGCCTGCCAAACTTCACCGTGTGACTGATGCCGTGGGCGATACTATCCATACATCCAGCCGAGAGGGGAAGTAAGGAACTGAGCAAGGGAAAGAAACGGAGAAAGGGCGAGTAATCATATTATAGTATTTATAATATATATACATAAGTATATTATGTTGTAATATATAGCGCCGCGAGAAAGAGAGAAAAATTGCTAGAGAGAATGTCGTGTGCGTGCGTGCGTGAGGTGCGTGGAAGAAGAAATATGCGAGAGAGAGAGCGAGAAGAGAGTCACGAGGGGGAGAGATGAAGCGGTTAAGGCCGGAGAAAGTAACTATGGGTATTAGAAGAATATGTGCATCCCGTGCTCTGATGTGTGCCGTTATAGCTGCCCTACCGGTGCGTTTGTCTGCGCGTGTGACTGCGCGCATAGCGTGTGGGGCACATCTCCGCTGATTCCTCCCTCGCGTTTCGTACTCCTCCCTCATTTCTCTCTTTCTCATCCCCTTCTCACTCCTTCCCCTCCAGTGTTTTTCCACCTCCTCTCGGCGGCATAGTATCGCCCGGACGCATCAGTTGCACGGTGGAAAAGTTAGCAAGGCAAAATGGCCGGTTTTCAGTCTCAACTTTTTCACCAGCCCCCCTCCCCCCCCGCATCACAAACACACATACACACACACTAAAGAACAGCGCTCACACGGCGGGTATGGTCGAGCTTAACCACGGCGTGCGCAGTGTATTATAGGCGTAAATTTCACATTTTGTGCCTCGACGGTGTGAAAAGTTTCGGCTGAAAATACGGACCATTTACCGTGGCAAGTTTTTTCATGCTGCTGGTCGTGGGCGATACGCATCGCGCGGAGAGAGTGGGAGTAAGGAATTAAGTTAGTAGAAAGGGGACAGAAACGAGAAAGAGACGAGTATTAAATATATA